TGAAGGGTGTGGATAATTGAAAGCATTTTTCATTAAAGTCTGGGATAAACAGCGATCACTAGCGTCACCCCCTTTTACTCCTCATTGTCTTGAGGAGCCTAGCTAATGCAGTGAGATCGAAATTTAAAGAGTAGAAATTTAAAACTTGAAAGGAAGCCACTACTGTCCATAGAGGCAGAAGGTAAGATTATCTCCTAAAAGCTAGAGCGAAGGTAGACTATAGACACATAAAGAGTAAGTGGCGGATTTTAAACCCAGCATTTTAAAACCAGTATTTAAAAACCAGTAGCTTCCCATGGTGCCCAGCACTACCAGTGAAACAGGAGACTTACACTATAACACTCTTCTCACACCCAGTTTAAGAATAAACTAGCCAAATGTGAAAGGCTAAGATGAACAAAACTATAAAACTCAGCTGATAAATGTAAACAAAAAAAACCCAAAATTCACCTGGCGAGCATATGACTCGGGTATCGATCATATTTTAACAGATAGTGTGTCCTCAGATTACGTCTGGCCTTTCACACACATCCTAATGTTAAAAATCAACAATAATCGGTTCATATCACTTTAACAATATACTTCGAACTCTGTTTTCTAGCGAGTATATATACGTAAAATATCCACCAGAAAGATCTTCTAACAAGAACAACTGGAGGCAGACTTGCTTATCAACAATATCCCCTTACAATGATCAGTTAATACTGTAGACATTGTGGCCCCTTCAGGTACCTCACGCTTTGCCTCACTCGCTGTACCCCCAAATCCAACTTCCAGCTGCACTCCAAATTATCAATATCCCCACCAAACGCCTATAGTTATCATTAAGTATAGATCTCCTACACTATCATATACAGAATTTCTGTATTTACACTGTGTGTATATAAAATATAATTTTGAGATAAAGTATCGAACGCGCATAACAGAAGATTTTTGGTATATTACTTATTCATGTGAAAATCTCTTAACTAGGAGAAACTCTCATCAGCCAATTTAGAATACACAACTGTATGCGGCACAAAATATTTTTCATGAGACAAAACAGCATGAAGCATTACTCTCCTAGGCCTAAAACGAATTCTTACATGAACTAAACAAACCCACTTACGAACAGCGCAGGTGTACTGCAGGGAAGCCAATGTCCTAAACATGTGAGATTTCCAGTGTCACTAGTAACTCAGAGATGTAAACTCCGCTCTTGGCGTTGGCCCATGTTTAGCAAATTCTATTTAATTGTGGGAAATATGTATTCTCATAAATGTTGGTGCAAGTATAAATTAGGTATGACATTTTTGGTGCACAATTTGGCAGTACAGTTAGAAATATAAAATGTACATGCCTGGCTGGGCGTAGTGGCTCACGCCTGTAATTCTAGTGCTCTGGGAGGTCGAGGTGGGAGGATCTCTTGAGGTCTGGAGTTTGAGACCAGCCTGAGCAAGAGTGAAACCCTGTCTCTACCAAAAAAAAAAAAAATGGAAAATAGCTGAGATGGTGGTGCTCACCTATAGTCCCAGCTACTTGGGAGGCTGAGGCAGGAGGATCACTTGAGCCCAGGAGTTTGGGGTTGCAGTGAGCTATGATAATGCCACTGCACTCTACCCAGGGTGACAGAGCGAGACTCTGTTTCAAAAAAACAAACATGTAAATGCCTTTTTTGTGAGCAGTCCCACTTATAGAAATCTCTTCTACAAAAATATACACCTAAAAATGCATCAGCTGGGGAGTGATGCAATGAATTATATGTCCAAACTATGGAATACTACTCACTCTTTAAAATGAACCAAGTAGTTCTATTTGTACTAACATTGGAAACTACATATGGTATGTTGATATATTGGAAAAGTAATTTAAGATATGTGGGTAGTATAATCCCATTTGGGTTAAATCATTTATGTGTGAAAACCGAGACATAACGGGTTCATGTCAAGCATTTAAGGTTGGTCACCTCTGGGGAGAGCAGTGAGAGGGACCGAAGTGAGAGGAAAGTAGCAAGAACCCAGACTTAGACTTCCTTGACACATTTCTGTACTTGAGATTTCTTATATTCAAATTTTGACAATCCACAAAAGATAGGAAAAAAAAATACCCATTACCCAGTGATATTATGGACATTTTGGAATAAAGGGGGAAAAATGAGTCCAGCAGAGTTAATTCAGTAGAAAGTGTAGGTAAATAAGACAGCACGAAGGTATTTTGGGGGGGGAAAGGGTTGGCTTTGTTTCCGAGGTCCTTTGCCGTTTGCTGTTTGATGCCCGGAAAGCCACAGGGCTTGTCTGCGGCCCACTTAGGTTTCTCCATTCTGCAGGTGGGGCTGACCTACTTCCGTTGGGCGAGGGGGCTGGGAAGAAAGCATGTCGAGAAAGGTGCCGCCTAAATGGGAAGTGTTGTTGTTAGAATGTCCATGAATGAATGTCGGAGTCCAGTGTCTCCGAGGGCCGCCGTTAAATGAGGAATGCTCTTTGTAGAAGCTGAACTCTGAAGTAGGCACCATGGTGAGGAGTCAGGTGGGATAAAATAAATAAAACATGAAAGACCATGTCACCGCTGTGGTGGAGGAGGAGTGTGTGTGTGTGTGTGTGTGTGTGTGTGAGAGAGAGAGAGAGAGAGAGAGAAAGAGAGAAGCTTAGGAACATATATAAAATAATAAAGGAGAACATTTTAACATAGCATAATAAACAGAATCCTGAAGTACTAAGGAGGAACTTGAAGTTTGAAGTAACTCGGGGCAATTAGTTGGGGGAGTCTGAAGAGATGCTTCCAGAGGCTAGGAGGCGGGCAGGTGCATATGCCTGTGTGAATGTGGGGGATGGGGTGAAGGGGCCCTGGGTAGCTTTGTTATCAAGTTCAAAGAGAGTTTCTAAAGAGAAAATAAAATTCCCATTTGACTCAGATGTGGTTCATTTTCTCAGGCAATGTCAAGAGGCGCAAGATCAAATCTAGCTTGTCACCATCCAGCACAGAACTCAGCAGTCTCTGGGAGCTGGAGCCGAGCCGCGCTTGGCTAATGAGAAATCTCTGTCCGCCGCCAGCGCCTCAGGGCCCATCTCTTCCTCTTTGGCAAGCAGGATACAAAGAGAGCTCAAAGCAGAGCAGGGACCTAGAAGGTCACCCAGAGCATTCATTCTGCAAGCTCCCCACCAGGCCCTTCCAGAAGACAGACGAGCACGGTTTCACAGTTTTGCTAGAATCCGAGCCAATGGCTCCGTGCTTTGGCCTGGGGTAGGTTTTAACAGAACCTAAAGCATACTTCACACAGGGACCTACCATTGGCAGTGAGGAAGAGGAGGAGATGGGCCAAACACAGCTGAGCTGTATCCTCTCATTTACTTTCTGGGCGTGAAAGGAGCGATTGTAAAATTCCGATGAAACGAGAAGTTAAGATTCAGAGCTCCCAGCATAAACATTTGGGTCTGTTATTAAGTTCACTTTACCAGTAAGACACATTCAGACACACAATAAGCCTATTGTTCTGTGACTGTTTGTGCATTTCAGTGGTTTGGCCCCTAGAACCCTCTGAGTGGAAGTTAGGTTGTCTCCATTTTGTCCTTTATAACTGCAGTCCCCAAGCCCCCAGGCTATGGACAGGTACAGGTCTGTGGGTCTGTTAGGAACCGGGCCCCACAGCAGGAGGTGAGCGGCAGGTAAGCAACCAAAGCTTCATCTGTATTTACAGCTGCTCCCCATCACTGGCATCACCGCCTGAGCCCCACCTCCTGTCAGATCAGTGGGGGCATTAGATTCTCACAGAAGCTCCAACCTGCACATGCAAGGGATCCAGGTTGTGTGCTCCTTATAAGAATCTAATGCCTGATGATCTGAGATGGAGCTGAGGCGGTGTTTCTTGTGCTGGGGAGCGTCTGTAAATACAGATTATCAGTAGCAAAGATGGTTGACTGCAGAGACCATAATAAATCAGTTGCTGCAGACTCACATCAAAACCCTATCAGTGAGTGGCAAGTGACAATGTAATAATAATAGAAATAAAGTGCACAATAACTGCACTTGAATCATCCCAAAACCATCTCCCCCCACTGGCCTGTGGAAAAATTGTCTTCCATGAAACTGGTCCCTGGTGCCAAAAAGGTTGGGGACCACTGCTTCATAATATGTTAAATATTGCTTGAACTGGTCCCCTTCTCACCATCTCTACTGCCGCCATTAATGAGTGTGCAGTTTATCACAACAGCTTTGTGTTTGATCTGTTTCCAGCTGTGCTCCCTGCAATCCATTCATCACACTGCCGGAGTCTGCTTTCCAAACTCCAGCTGTTTTTCACTTCACAGCTCAGAATCCCTCAGTGACATTCAGGGCCTTCTATCATATCCCCACCGCCCACCTTCTCAGCTTACGTCTCTGCCTACTCCATATTGTCTTCTGATTGTGTGCGACAGCTACCCAAGACTATTTGTGGTTCATCAAAAACGCAAACCTCTGTCCTGTGTTTGTGCCTGGAATACCGTTTTAGCTAATTACTGTTTGTCTTAAGACACAGCTATGCCAAGTGTCACCTCTAGGAAGTGCTCCCTGACCTCCTCTGTGTTTCCCCACACCCTGGAAGCACACGAGGTTTACTTCCATCCCAGCACCTGCACTCTATCCTAACTGGCTAGTCTGTCTCCCTCATTCACCTGAAAACACCTTGAAGGTAAAAGTCATGTAGTTCTATGCATTGCACTTTGCAGAGTGCCTGGCACATAGTTGGTGCTCTGTGAATGTGTGATAGGAAAGAATGAATGTGTATGTCTTGAATTGTTTCTCCCCCTCCAGTTTGTGAACATGTGTATGTGGGTCTTTGTTGTGCTTGGTAGGACATGAATCAAGTTATACTCAGCCCACTGTGTTCTCAGAAACATGGGGAGGATGAGTTGGATAAATGATGTTAAGGTGAGATATATAAGTGAGTTGAAGACTCTTGCCACTCATCCCACAGCACTATTTAAGTAGCTGCCTACTGGGTCTCCCTAGTGTGTTCCTGAATTAAAACTCCTGTGTCGTTCCAGGTCAGCTGTTGCCAGCAAACCGCAATACACCGAGTCCCATCGATCCTGACACCATCCAGGTCCCGGTGGGTTATGAGCCAGACCCGGCAGATCTCGCCCTCTCCAGCATCCCTGGCCAGGAAATGTTTGACCCTCGTAAACGCAAGTTCTCCGAGGAAGAACTGAAGCCACAACCTATGATTAAGAAAGCTCGCAAAGTCTTCATCCCTGATGATCTGAAGGTAAATTGGAACTGGTAATCAGGCTTTGGGAGAATGGAGAGTGGGCTGGAGAAGGAAATTGAAAGAGTGTCCCCAAGGAAGAGCGTAGAAGCTAATGCATGAAGGACTTGTGATTTCTGACCCTGTTTCTTGGCATGTGACTTCTAGGCAAGTTGCTTCCTCTCTGGGTGTCTTCTGAAATATGCTTTTGTGTCTTGATACTGAACAGAAATAAGGAGCAGTGGTGAAATGTGGGAGTGATTTTAAGCCCATGAAGGAAGCAAACTTGCTACTATCTGCAAGGAAACACAAAAGTCTAATAAAATACAGTCAAAATCTTTCCAGGTTGGAAAGAGAAAGAAAACTATTTGGAAAAGGGCATCTGGACTTCCAAGGGTTACCTTCCTTTTGGGAGATTTGTTGATAATTAGCTGCTGCCATTTCCCTTTAGACTTCAGGGAATCACAGCCAGAGTCAGGACCTCCTCCAGATTGCAAACCTTGGATGACCAGGGTGGGGGTTTGTGAAGGAAGCTGGTGGGTTCCCTGACACTGTTTATGTCACTTCATGTCTCAAGTAATGATCACTTGAGTATACCAATAAAAGGTCAATTGTGGGTTGGTGTTCTCCACTATGTGGAAGGGACACATTATTTATAAAGGGAACTAGATTTACCTTGGGACGTCAAATATTATTATAACTTAAAACAAAATTAATCTGACACATGATACTTGAAAAGTAGAATTTTTTCCCAAAATTAGGCCATGTCTGCAAAGATGAAAACAGGAACCACCTTTGGCCATTACTTAGGACTTTTTGTGTTTATGGTTCTTCCCAATCACATGGACAATAGAGATATGATTAAATGTGGTTAACCAGGCATTCTGGGCCCTTTTCTAATATCTGACCCCCATTTCTCAAATGGTTCCTGTGCAGAGACATTCCCTAGGTAGGGAAATGGGAGATTGAGACATTACCTGACCTGATTTAGATCAGTTGTTCCTGCTTTTCATATGTAGAAGGAGCTCCAAAGGCAGAAGTACCTGGAAGATTTAATCACTGCTGTCATCCACATACCTGAGATTGCCTTAATTAATGCAGAATGGAAAAATGTCAGGGCTGAAAGGGACCTTAGAGATTCATTAGTCCAAAGTTACCATCTTGCAGTTGAATAAATGGAGAAGCAGAAAGGTGAAGTCAGGTAAACTATGCCTGTTAGAAGAAGGCTTAGCCTGGCTCCCAGGTTGTTTAGCTTCTAGAAAGGTCATGGTAGCATTTTGGCCCTGAGAAAGGTTACAACAGGGGCCCTTTGGTGACAAATCAATAAACATCTAAACTAGTCAAGGATTGTGATTAGACTGAGATGAGTAAGAAAGTGACACCAGGCGCAGATCCTGGGCAGTTAGGTACCTTCCTCCACTTGGTTGCTTTTCCTACTCTTGTGTTCTTAATGATCCAGTTCTTTTTGTATTTTAGAGGCTCATCTCTTAAACTAAACCAGGGAGCCTATTCAGTATGGATTTCCTCTTCAGTGGAGGGTAGTTTGAAAGGATGCTGCTGGGTAGTAGATAGAACTTCCAGCCAGACCTTCACAAAGTCTCCAGATTTACCTGTTCAAAACAAAGAGCAAGATTACTTAAAAACCCAGGTAACCATGGCAACAAAGAGGCCATGCAAAAACCCTCTGTGCTGGAATTATACATATTACTGCTGTCATGGCCAGGCCTGCCCTTATCACATGGTGGATGAGGAATGGGCAGGAACATTCTCCTGCCAAGTGTCCTTGGATATTTTTTCAGTTGTGGGTGAAGGCTCAAGCCACAGACTGGGAGCTGGTGTGAAGCAGGAAGCAGAGCTGAACCATGTTGCTCCCTCTGGCAGAGAGGACTGAGCTAGGGGTGGGTGGGAGAGAAGGTGTCTGTAGCCCCCAGCATTGGATGAGCAAACCAATTCAATGAAACAGCCGCATAAAGCATGGTCTTCCCGGCAGCTGCCTGAACTTCCCCTCTAGAGCCAGTTCTTTGGGTTAGCGTGCATCCCCTGGGAGAGTTAAGGGATGGCACGTGGGGATTTATAGCCAGAAAGTAGTTTAACCACCTTGATTTCTTAATACGTTTAAGGGTCCATTCATTCACTCAGCAATTATTTTTCAAATGCTAGTGTATGCCAAGCCCTGTGTCAGGGGCCAGGGATGCCAAGGGGAGCCAGTAGCAACACTGTCCCTGCCTTTGCGGCACTTGCAGTCTGGTGAGAAAGAGGGAAGGAAGACCTGCCAGGAAGGACAGGGCTGCGCGGGTCCTTGCTGGGTGGGGGTAACTGGGTAGCCAGATGGCATCAGCACCTGGGAGATAGAGGGCAAGGGGCCAGGGCATGGAGTGCCAACGTATCAGGCCCACTGCAGATGCTGTTTCCGTTTGCCCCCAACCATTGTGTGTGACAAAGGGAGGGAGGCTGGTTTTCCTAGTCCAGGACACTCCTTCTCCCATCATCTCTGCCTTCTGCATCCTCTGCTTCACCCCTGTTCCCAGCTCCCCTCCCACCCAAGAGGTGTGTTTTGCATTCCACACTTCTGCTGGCTCATCTGCATGTGTGGACAGGCGAGGCTAGAAAACAAAAGCACTTTGGAAGTGAGAAGAGCTCTAAGTAAGAGATGGAGACATTGGTTGTTACCCTGAAGTGAGCTGGTCACTCTGGTCCTTAAGACCTGGTCAGTATTGTCCCAGACCACCTAGTCTGTAGCCTGTGAGGGGCTCCCAGTCCCTCCCTGGCATGTGCACAATTTCTAGAGTTTCCCAGGGGTGGGTTCTCATGTTCTTCGTCATCTCTTGTGCTCCTCTTCCCCTGTGTGCAGGTTTTGATACATCCTAAGTCAGCCCCTCTTTGGCATGTTCTTGGATACCACACTCCTGCGCACATTGATGAATTTAATAAATTTACTGGCACTATGGAGAGAGGGAGTGGAATTAGGGCTTCCATAAAATTAATACTGACAACTTGCATCAGAACTGGAGGCTTCTCTGCTGTTGTTAATATGCCTTTGGGTCCCCTCACCACTGACCTGACATCATTGACTCTCCTGGCTCCTCCCAGCCTCTTCCCTCCCTTCCACTTCTCTCCCTCCTTGCAGAAGCACAAACAACAAATTCTACCAACAACCATTACACACTTGCCCAAGCTTGCTTATCCAAGTGTTCTTCAAAGGACAGCCTCCTCCCTCAGAAGAATTCTGGAACCAGCTATTATGAAGATCATTTTTTTTTTCACTCTGGAACACATTATGAAATGTAGAGAAAGCTGGGGGTGCTTTATTTAAGATGATAGTACCAACTTGTGAAGGAGGTTGCCTGCACACACTTTCTATCCCACACTTTCTTTGTGCAGGGCAAATGTCTGTTGAGAGTAATAGGCAGGTCTGGGGGTGGACCACTGACCTTGGACCTTCCTTACAGCCTTGGCCTCAACCCGTGTGACTCCTCCATTGCCAGCTGCCCCTTGGAATCCTGGTGGGGGGTAAGGACTAGCCTCACCCACTTACCACTTACTCTGGGTGGCATGTAACTGCAGGTATTAGGACTGAGGGTTTTGCTGTGGCAAGTTGTTGAAAAAAAAAGGGAGTTGCCACATTTCATCAGGTAGCACTGTTAATGAATTGGGAAGGTCTAAAATAAGACTCGCATTTCTTAGTCCTCCTAGGAAGCTTTTCCTCTCTTTTGTTGTGGGGAGGGAGGGATGGAAGAGAAAGGAAGGATTGCTTTCACACTGACCACAGTATTACTCAGGCTAATGCAGGCCTAGATAATGGTTAAACAGGAAATTAGAGTAAATTATTTAAATCCTAGCCACCAATAGGAGTACATTGATTAGTGGCAGGTTAAAGGTATTTTTTTTTAATTTCTATTTTTAATGACCAAAGTGAACATGCCCATTATATAACATTCTAATAGTTCAGAAGGATATAAAATAAAAGGTGAAAGGTCCTACCTCTCTCCTTTCCCTCTCTCCTCCAATCCCTCTTTTAAAGGTACCACTTTTATAGCTTGGTATAAATACCTATGGGCTTCTTTCTATGAATATATAATATTAAGATTTTTAAATCAGACTGGGATGAGACCATACATATTTATCTGCAAATTGCCATTGTCTGCACCCACATAGTGGCATGTCATGAACATCTTTCTGGTTCTGCTGGGTCATTATTTTTAACAGCTACAGAGTATCCCTTTGTGTGACTCTATCATAATGTGTTATTAACTCTCCTACATATAATTAGTTTCTCCCATTTTTTTTTTCTATTACAAACAATGTTGCAATAAACATTTTGTGCCTGTGTCTATGTGGACCTGTCCGAAGACTGCTGTGGGATGCTATCTTAGAAGTAGAGTTTCCAGGTCAATCGTAATGCATTGGAACAGCTGATTATCGCCAAATGCCCTTCCAAAAATTTTGTACCAACAACTTGCATCAAAACAAGCATATGAGTGCCCATGGAAGAAAAAGGTTCTTAAAATATGATTTTCAGCAAAGGGAGTAGAGAAAGTTGGAATGTATTTTAAGGAGCGAGGCGAGCCTCTTGCCTTCCTTCAGCCTGTGATCTCTGCCTTGTGGGGCACATACTCTGCTGGGCAGAGAGGAGGGACCTGCTGGGACAGGTTGGTCCCTGCTCCAGGAAGGAAGCCATGGCTCATGGACCATTCTCTCTGACATGCAGAAACCGTAAAGGAAGGAGACACGGTTAAGAAACCTGGGCTGGTGCCTCCACACAACCCTGAAGGCTGCCAGCGCCCTGGCTGACACTGGGCTCTGCTGACATCTAATATCTTGTTTCTTTTTCCCTCTGTAACTAATGAGCAGGATGACAAGTACTGGGCAAGGCGCAGAAAGAACAACATGGCGGCCAAGCGCTCCCGTGACGCCCGGCGGCTGAAGGAGAATCAGATTGCCATCCGGGCTTCGTTCCTTGAGAAGGAGAACTCGGCCCTCCGCCAGGAGGTGGCTGACTTGAGGAAGGAGCTGGGCAAATGCAAGAACATACTTGCCAAGTATGAGGCCAGGCATGGGCCCCTGTAGGATGGCATTTTTGTGGGCTGGCTTTTGAATAGGTGGACAGTTTGTTTCCTGTCTGATAGCACCACACCCAAACCAACCTTTCTGACATCAGCACTTTACCAGAGGCATAAACACAACTGACTCCCATTTTGGCATACATCTGTGTGTGCGTGTGCGTTTGTGTGTGTGTGTGTATGTGCTTGTGCTCATGTGTGTGGTCAGCAACGTGTGTGTGTGCGTGCGTGTTCCTTTGCACTTGCCATTTTAAGATAGCCCTCTCATCGTCTTTTAGTTCCAAAAAAGAAAGGTGCCATGTTTCTACTAGACTTTGGAGCCCTCGCGTGGGTTTCCCGCCCTCACCCTTCTTCTCCACTCCTGCCCTTTCTGCGTTGCTCCGTGTTCGAGCTTACCTACTCCTCCAGGACTCTCTGCTTGGATTCACCAAGAAGGGGCCCTGGTTAAATAGTGGATCTCAGTTTTTAAGAGTACAAGATTTTGTTTCTGTTTAATCTGTAAGTTGCCATGCTAATAAGGTGCACAAACTAACTTATCACTACACTGCAGCTCTCTTCCTTTATAGGTTGCTTTCTTCTTATTTTCAGTTTTGGTGATAATTGTCTTCAAATTTAAAGTGCTGTTTAGATTTATTAGATCCCATATTTACTTACTGCTATCAACTAAGTTTCCTTTTCAATTCTACCAACCCCAGATAAGTAAGAGTACTATTATAGAACACAGAGTGTGTTTTTGCACTGTCTATACCTAAAGCAATAATCCTATTGTACGCTAGAGCATGCTGCCTGAGTATTACTAGTGGACGTAGGATATTTTCCCTACCTAAGAATTTCACTGTCTTTTAAAAAACAAAATTAAAGTAATGCATTTGAGCATGATCAGAACATCCCTAGGACAAGGAAGCAGAGGGAAATGGGAGGTCTAAGAATGAGGGGTTAATTTATCAGTACATGAGCCAAAAAAATGCGTCTTGGACTAGCCTTTGACATCGATACGTTTGGTTTTGTTGTCTCCCCTCTCCCATACCCCATCCCACTCCCACTTTTCTATTAACTTTTTCCACATCCCTCTTGATATTCAAAACAATTCAATTACTTAAGATTCAGTTTTCCCATTTTTTTTTTGGTAATACATATATTTTTGTGAATTATACTTTTGCTGTTTTTCAAAAAGCAGTTAATTGAGTTAAGTTGATGTTTTTGTAAGACCCTTTTTCCTAGTGGTGTCCTTTTTGAATGCCTCATAAATTAATGATTCTGGCGCTTATGTTTCTTATTCTCTGTTTGCTTTTGAACGTATGTGCTCTTTTAAGTGGACTTCTGAAAAATGAATGTAAAAGACACTGGTGTATCTCAGAAGCGGATGGTGTTGTCACAAACTGTGGTTTAATCCAATCAATTTAAATGTTTACTATAGACCAAAAGGAGAGATTATTAAATTGTTTAATGTTTATACAGAGTAATTATAGGAAGTTCTTTTTTGTACAGTATTTTTCAGATATAAATACTGACAATGTATTTTGGAAGACATATATTATATATAGAAAAGAAAAAAAGGAAAACTATTCCATGTTTTAAAATTATATAGCAAAGATATATATTCACCAATGTTGTACAGAGAAGCCGCGCTTGGGGGTTTTTGAAGCGTTTAATATTTTAAGCCTATCACTGACACATCAGCATGTTTTCTGCTTTAAATTAAAATTTTATGACAGTACCGAAGTTTGCCATGACGAATCCTGCTCCGAAATACATAAGGAGCTTTCTTGTTTCTTATTAGGGCCTTCAGAAAGAAGTCAGCGAAAATCACCCAAAAGCACAAAATGGATTTTAGTCAAATATTTATTGGATGATACAGTGTTTTTTTAGGAAAAGCATCTGCCACAAAAATGTTCACTTCAAAATTCTGAGTTCCTGGAATGGAGCGTCACCGCCAGTGCCCCAGACAGTTCTGTGCCTGTCTGGGGGCCCCTGCGTCCTACGCAGTGCGTGAGGTCGATACGGGTGCTATGTGTACGGTTCGTGATGTGACAGATGTCTTGACTTTACAGGTGACCGTTCCTTTGTTTCATTGAGTTGTATAATGTCAAGAGATTCTGCTATTACCGCAAAGAGACATTTTGTGCTACATTAAAATACCCTTTCCTAGATGGAATTTTCTAGTTTCCTGCCTCCAGATTATCTAATTCTTTAATGAGCTGGCGGTGTCCTTATCAATCTGTCAGTAGTGATTCCCTCGTAGTGTCATAGCCTCGGGAAACTCGACCAGTAGGATGTTCCTCCAAGGAATCCATTTTTTTCCCAAGCTACAGACAATGACAAGAGACAGGGGGGAGCGCTGGAATCGAAATACATTGTGCTAGTGAATAACTAACAAAATAAACAAACCCTTTGGCAATCTTAAGCAGAACCGAAGAAGAGATGCTCAGGAAGAGACACAAGTGGACGTAGAGTTGGCCGTTTTACAGGCAAAGAGGCTAATTGCAGAGTTGTTAAATGCCAGTAGTCATTAAAACAAAACCATTATATCTTTCCGTGGAGAAGTGTTGAAGGATTGTACCGTGGACCATCCAAAGTGATGGCAGTATCAAATGGTAGCTGAAAAAGAAAGAAACAAAAAACAACTATATTTGAGCACTGGTCTTTCTTGGAATTAGATGATTATATAAAAATGAGTATCACAAATGTTTTCTGCAGAAGAAATAAAAAGATCATAATAAAACGTATTCTTTTGTGTGCCAGGAGAGGTTTCAGAAACCTACCTCGTCTTAAATATTTAAACACTTTGGAGTCTGTACAGGTGCCTTATACGTAGGTCATTCTCATGACACACACACAGGAACGCTCACTCCTGGACTGGCTGCCTGCGTGTCCAGGGACGTTAACTAGGAAATGAGGCAGAGCTGCTCAGTGGAGAGGGAAGCCATGGCTTGACTTTGAGTGACATGGGCCAACCCAGGTCAAAAGAGTGCCTGCAGACTGCAGCTATTATAAGAGTCCTATTGTCATTTTTCCACCTTTTCATCCTAAGCAACTTCCAGAGATTAATTATTTGGCTATTAAAAATGAATCCAAGTCATATCATGCTGACATCCTTTAGACACGATTTAAAATGAGCAGCATAGGATGACCTGGTTGGATCACATTGTTGTTTCTTTTTACTAGAATTGGCAAAGGCAAAAATTGACCAGCATCTCTTTCTGCAGGTACTACCTTGAGGAAAGAGGTAGAGGATGGGAGGGCTGTAAATGATCCCTTCTTCCTCTTGAGAAAGTGGCCACTGTGGGCAATACAAAAGCCACAGAAGGCAAGATTGTGATAGGCCTTTTGTCTTCAAATACAACAGGCCTCCCTGGATCCACCCCTCCGGACAGAAGGCCCGTTTGTTTGAGGAGAATGCAGATGGAATTCTGGCATTGGGTGAATGGGAAGCCGAAGTAGATCACCCAGGGAATCCTGCTAGCCCACTGGTTTTGCCAGGGAACTCAATAATTCCAAATGTACAATACATCTAGAAGGTCCAGGGTCTGTTTTCAGCAGAGTCAAGAAGAATTGTAAGTGGTGTCCTCCCCCTGTGCCCCAGGGTAAAACAACAGACATTCTATAAAATGCAAAATTATACTTCACCTTTTCTAATAGTTCATCTAACTTTCCCCTAATGTTCCTTTTGGGAAAACTCAAACTTTATCATAGTCCATTGGAGCGATCCCAAGGCAGGCAGACTTGGCCTGCTTGTCTGCGCGTGGCGGGTGGAGACCTGGATTCAACACTGGGGGCAGCAGCCTGCAGGTGCCCAGGGCTGGGTGTTTTGCCCTCCACATGGTGGACACCTTCCACCTCAGTCTGCTTCACTTCCGGCTCAGGGCTCCTATGTACCCCCCACTGGTGAGGCCAAGATCTCCTCCAGGGTTTTCCTATTATGAATAATGTCACTTAAAAAAATGAGCAAAGCCTTATCTGAATCCGGATTTAGCAACTAAAGTCAATATGTTTTGCAGGGGGGCCAAATGTGTGTAGGGGTGTGTGTGTGTGTGTGTGTGCATGAATATTTAGGTTGACATAAAATCTTTAATTTTTGAGCACCTTACCAAACATAACAATAATCTATTATCCTTTTGGCAACACCACAAAGATCGCATCTGTTAAACAGGTACAAGTTGACATGAGGTTAGTTTCATTGTACACCATGATACTGGTGGTATTTATGCTATTAAGTCCAAACCTTTATCTGTCTGTGATTCTTAATGTTCAATAAACTTTGAATTTTTTTCCTTTCTTTCATGTATTTTTGTTAACAGCTAGCAATTGGATTGTGTTCACACCTCAACCAAGAGACCATTTACAGAGGTTAATTACATAGATGATAAAATGATACTGCTATCTAATTAGCAATAAATTAACACTTATTGAGTACTTATGTGCCAGACACTGTACTAAACACTTACATGGAATATTTTATTTAATCCCATATCAACCCTATACGGTAAGGACAACTGTTATCCCCATTTCCAGAAGAGAAAATTGAAGGTTGGGGGATTAAGTAGCTTATCTGACCTTACATATAGGTATAATAGAAGTGGCTAAGACGAATTCTGATCCACTGAATGGACATCATTTAGAGGAGTGATTCCCAAAAGCCAGTCCAGAGACTATTTTCTTGTTGGATATATAAAAATCATATGGGAACATATTACAGAAATAGAGATCCAAGATTCTGAATCAGTAGATATGGGATGGGGCCCAGAAATCTGAATTTTTAAATGGTCCCAGCTAACTCCCATGTGCAGCCAAGTAATTGCACTCAAGGATTTATAGTCTTGGCATTAAATTTGAGTCCATGACCCTTGGGGGACCCATGTAGCAGTTTCAGAGATTCCATAATTACCTGAAATTGTTTGCAACATTTTTTGTGTATAAACACATACTTATTTTAGTGTCTAGAAGACTTCACAGCTTTCTCCCTGCCTCCCATGAAGGAATCTGTAATGCAAGATGGAATAAAACCCCTGATTTATCAGAAGGCTGACGCAGAGCAGTGGTTCCAGCCCTGGGGAGTGTAGAACGCTGGCAGTGTGTGGGCTGCAGCTCAGGCCAAGGGACTCAGCATCTCTGGCATAGCAAGAAGGCAGCTTCATGGTGAGGAGCACAATTCTGGATTGTCACCTAGCAGGTGTGTGACCTTGAGCAGCTTCTAAACATTTTGAGGGGTTTGAGGAGAACTAATAACAAATGCATAGTCCTTGCACATCATCACATCATAGGCCCTCGACGAATAACTGCATGGGGGCCAGGGGAGTGGAAAGTATTCCTTGAGCACTTTTTCCAGTTCAGTATTTCAGATCATTTGTTCCTTCAAAGAGGACAGGAAATAATCCTCTGCTCACAGGATGCAGCAGGGTGGCTGACGGTGTGGGAATAAGTGATACCCTTCTAGCAGATCCTAAACTATCACCAGCTTTGTGCACCAGGTCAATGGGCACCCAACACCTGATGGCACCTTCTCATTTAGATTGAGCAGGTACAAGTTAGGGTTCAGCTCTATTTTCATCATCAAACACTTTCCTCAAAGGAATAGGCATGGAGACTTAAGCTTAAGATCCTTTGGGGGTAACTGATTGTACATTTGTAGCTTAAGATTCTTTCAGGGCAGCTGATTGTATATTTGGCATCTTCCAAATCTCTTAGAGGAAATGACTTCATGCCTGGAGAGCATTCGGACTCCAAGATGGCAGGAACTGATACAAAGCCATACGGCGTGGACTCCCAGTCACATGCGAGCCCTCAGACTCTGGGGGCCTGTCACATGCTGCCTGAGTGGGGTGGTTCTTCCATCCACATTTAAAACATAACTAACCACCCAACCAACAATCCCTTCTCTTCAAAGCATATGAATTCAATTCCCTCTTTGAAAGTCATTGGCTTAGAAGTCTCTTTGGACATCTTTAGCCAGGAACTGGGTGAGAATTATTTGAAATCTTGCCTTTGAGGTCAGGAAATGGCTTCTTGGTAATAAATCAAAAGGACTTTTTAGAGGAGAAAGGTCCAATCAAAGGTGTTAAGTATCCTCTGCCTCTCTGATCTTTAAGTCAGTAAAAACTTCAGTCTAAAGCCCCTGTCTCTAATGACTTCTCATCCTGCAAAGCCTGGCACAGAACAGTGTGAAGAGCTAACAGTTACTGAGTCCTAAACCTGTACCTTCTACATCTCATTTAATCCTCACACTACAAATCGGTGCTATCTTTGTCCCTGTTTAGTGGGTGAAGAAGCAGGCTTATGGAAATCGAGTCATTGGAATTTAAACCTAGACCAAAGCCTGACTCCAGAGTTTGACAGGGGTAGGAAGCATGTCAAAGGTTTACCAAACCCATCCTTCTTTCCTTCTGGACATTCACCCTAGACCATGCAACCAAATTCTGCCAAGTGACCTATAAGCAGTAGTAACCATGGTGCCACTTCCATACATGTTGCCACCTGCTGCAAAGTGGGGAAGATAGAGACTAAGAAGGAAGGGACCCAGGCCCCTGAGTCACTGAATGTTACACAGTGGAAGACAACACTTCCCTGTGTCAAACCCTGGGGTTGGTTGTTGCAGTGGCCAGCCTGCCCTGACATAGGAGCCTTCTTCTGAGGCCCAGGGTCTTTATCAGAGGTCTTGACGTCTTTGCCAGGCTGTGGCTCCTGGTTGGAATCCAGGTTCATCACCTCTCACATACATGACTTTGAGGTTTGCCCACCTTCTGAACAGACCCCCTACCCTGGTTCTGCTCAGCCTGCTGGGTTGGACCTTCAGAATGTCACCGCCTACATCATGTTTCAGTTCGTCCAGCATTTGAACACCATCTGGAGCTGTCCGGTTGTCCTCAAGGGAATCAGCCTCTACATCCAGATCCGCTTTCCTACTCTTCATCTTCTTCTGAGGCCAGAGTCTCTCCCTGGCCACTCAGCCCCTCCTCCATCCGCAACCCCAGATGTTCAGGTACTAAGCTAGAGATGAGGCCTACAATTTTGAAGACAAGTGCTCTGGTCTTCAAACATTTTGCTCACATACTCCCTGAAATTCTTTTTAAACGATGAACCCACATTGTACATTACAAAGTTGACTACTAAAATTTTTCAGCGCATGTTTGAATAGTTGCAAAGGATATAAGATCTGCTTTAAGTATTGGCATTTAAAAATAAACTATGATGTGACTCTTTTTAATATATCCAATGAACTATAAAAACCCCAATAATTTGTTACCTATCAACATCCATTTGCAAAATGCAGTTGGAATTTGTACATCACTTCTCTTTCTACTTAAAACCGTTATTTCCATTCTATGTTCCCTTGCTGAATTTATCATGTTATATATATATATATTTACATATATGTAATATATATATATATATTTAGTCAAAGTCTCACTGTGTTGCCCAAACTACAGTGCCGTGGCGTCAACCTAGCTCACAGCAACCTCAAACTCCTGTGCTCAAGTGATCCTCCCGCCTCAGCCTCCTAAGTAGCTGAGACTACAGGCATGTGCCACCATGCCTGGCTAATTTTTTGTATATTTATTTTTAGTTGGTCAATTAATTTATTTCTATTTTTAGTAGAGACAGGGGTCTTGCTCTTGCTCAGGCTGGTTTCAAACTCCTGACCTGAGCCATCATCCTGCCTTGACCTCCCAGAGTGTTAGTATTGCAGGCATGAGCTACTGTGCTACATGATATTCATATTTCTCAGTCATAAAACAGTATCTATAGGCTGAGATGGTTAGTTTCATTTTCTCTGAACTCATAAAGTTTAAAAAAATTTTTCTTTAGGTAGATATATGGTTACCTTTTTTACTAGTATACAAACATTAGAAACCACATGTGTACATTAAAATTTTTATAAATAATTATTGTGCTTAAAAAACAAAACTTTAACAGGACTACAAATCTGGGAGGATTAATAAAAATACCAAAAATAACACTTTATAGACAGAAAAGGTTCTCATTGTCCCTTTGTGGGGTGCCCAGACAATTTTTATATCTGGAACTAGAGCCCAGAACTGTAGTAAGATTTAGGATGGGTGGGAAGTAAGCCTGTCTTTAGTAAAGCAGGTGAAATGTGATTGAAAAGAGGGAAGAAAAGAAAAAACAGCCAGCCTGAGGCCTCATCAATAAACACTTGCTCAGGCAGGTCCATTTTAAGAAAAAATACATATAGAAGTTGAGGATCTAGAAATTTCCTTAAAATTTGCCTGTACAAACATATCCCTTGAATGTACTTTGTGCACCGGTCAATGTGTGCCTTGCTGGCTTAATGCAGGGTATCAGAATGGAATCGATGGTGGTCACGAAGCAGAAGGTCATTTGGCCGGGTCTGACATTTTTGAAGGGCCTCAAATTAGGATGCTAGATTCGTCCAGAGATAGAATGACAATTTTTTTTTTTATAACTTTCTTTGGGCATTTTTTTTTTTATCTTTTGAAATGTGTCTCTTCAAGCCTGTAGAATAGAACTGACCCCAAGCCTCCCTTAACGCTTTGATGGGAAGTCAGGGGCAGGATGTGTGGATCTGGGGAGGCCCCAAAAGGAAGGTGATGGTTGAGCTGAGTGAGGATGAGCAGGAGCTTGTCAGGAAGAGATGGGGAGGGACATTCCAGGTGGTGGCACAGAGGTGAGAGAGAACAGAACAGTCCCATAAGGCAACAGCATGGTTGGCTATGCGCCAACCATGGTATGGGGGTTGGGGGTGGAAAAAGAACTATGGCCAGACCACCAGTGTCCTTGCACACTGCCCTAAGGCCTTTGGACTTTATCTTGACCAGGAGAAGGACATATAAACAGATTCCTATATTAGAAATGTTATACTGGCAGCTCTGTGGAAGATGGATTGCAAGGAATTAAGAAGAGTTGGGGAGTCTTTGAGTAAGTCTCTAGGGATGAGATGGATGGATAGATTCAAGAGCTATTTAGGGAGATTGAATCCACAGGGTTTGGTAGAAGGGGTGAAGGACAGCTCTAAGGTTTCATTTACACAATCTCAGTTGATCCATGCTTCACAGAGAGGGATGTGCAGAAGAACCGCCTGAGGAGACTGTAAAAACACCCGTGCTGGCACCACCCTGAGCCTTGCTGAGCTTGCAGCCTCGGGTGTGGAATACCAGCCTGTTTTCTTTAGAAAGCTCTCCCAGCTTATTCTACTCCACACCCCCCTGGTTGAGAGGGATGTGGGTCAGGAATTGTAGCCTTCACCATTCAGTTAAAGAAACTAAAGCTCAAAGAGTTCTGAAGTCAGAATTTCTGGAG